GGCCACGGTGCTGGGGATGCAGCCCAGGATGTGGGGGGCTTTCTGGGCTGCCAGTGCACATTGCTGGCTCATGTTGAGCTTCTCATCCACCAACACCCCCCAGTCCTTCTCCTTAGGTTGCTCCCCATCCATTCCCTGCCCAGCCTGGATTTGTGCTTGGGATTGCCATCCCCCAGGTGCACACCTTGCACTTTGCTTGGTTGAACTTCATGAGGTTCGCACGGGCCCCCTCTCCAGCCTGTCCAGGTCCGTCTGGATGCCAAGTGACACCACATGAGGTCACATATAACACCCAATATATGGGTCCCAACTTGTGGAATAAATTTGGGGTGCAACTAGTCCTTCTCCTTAGGTTGCTCCCCATCCATTCCCTGCCCAGCCTGGATTTGTGCTTGGGATTGCCATGACCTTGCACTTTCTGGATTTGTGCTTGGGATTGCCATCACCCAGGTGCACACCTTGCACTTTGCTTGGTTGAACTTCATGAGGTTCGCACGGGCCCCCTCTCCAGCCTGTCCAGGTCCGTCTGGATGCCAAGTGACACCACATGAGGCCTCTCCAGCCTGTCCAGGTCCATCTGGATGCCAAGTGACACCAAGAAAGCACCACATGAGATCACATATAACACCCAATATATGGGTCCCAACTTGTTACACCCCGAATTTATTCCACCAGCTGGAGTGCAGACAAGGAAGCTTGTGGCCAAGGTGAAGGTGGTGGTGCCATCAGGGAGTCTTCTGGCAGCGTCAGACCAGGTTTTGAACTGCTGCTGTTTCCTCTCCAACATCTCTGCTCCCTTTTCAAATGTTCCTGTTGCTTTTATATTTCTTTTCAAGCTGATTCTTCTTCACAGTCTTCCAGTTACTGTTTAACCCAGCTGAGGGCAGTCATCCTCTTCGACGGGCTCAAACTGCTGTTGTATCCAAGCCCTTCTCTAACTGGGAGCGTCCCAACAAGTAGAGTGTGTGAAGGTACCGGGACGAGACTTCCCATCTGTCCTCCCTCTGCCTACAGCTCTGACAAAAGCAGGTTTGAGAGGTACTTCCAGGTCTTTTGACCTAATTACAAAATGGAACCATTTTAATCTGTGTTTGAACAAACACAACCTTGTAGTTTACAGAGTCGCATGGTTTTTAAGGTTGCATATTTTAGCTTGGCCATTAGGGAAACCCAACTTTCAAGCTATTTCTCTCCAAATACAAATTTCATAATTATTTCTCTGATGTCGGTAGCATGTGATGCTTTGAAATGAGAAATTTCTCTCTCCTTTGTGTTTTGCTCAGTTTGTTATTATTTTGTGCTTGTTAACCACATTTGCCCAATTGATCCTATCAATTCTTCATGATGTGCACCTTGTCTGCCTTTGATGTCAGGGCCGTGCACACCCCTTATTATTCATAAATAATAGAATAAAAAGCTTAGTGGACCTGTTTGGATAGGTGCTGCACATAAGCATCCTAAATTTAAGCAAATCTTAGTTTTTTGGGATTCATTGTGACCTTTAACAGACGCTTGACCTCCTGTATGGTATGTTTTGGACAGATGTGTCCTGTGGAAGCAGCTGAATTAATGAATGGAGTTGGTGCCCACTGTTCTGCCACCACCTCCTGTTACTGCTCCATCATAGAATCATAGAATGGTTAGAGTTGGAAGGGACCTCAAGGATCACCTAGTTCCAACCTCCCAACACCACCTACCAGACCAGGTTGCTCCAAGCCCCCTCCAACCTGGCCTTGAACCCCTCCAGGGATGGGGCAGCCACAGCTTCTCGGGGCAACCTGGCCAGGCTCTCACCACCCTCACACCAAACAAGTTCTTCCCCACATCTCATCTCCATCTCCCCTTTTTCACTGTCAAACCCTTCCCCCTCCTCCTAGGGCTCCCCTCCCTCATCCAGAGTCCCTCCCCATCTCTCCTGGAGCCCCTTGAGGGACTGGAAGGGGCTCCAAGGTCTCCCCGGAGCCTTCTCTTCTCCAGGCTGAACCCCCCCAACTCTCTCAGCCTGTCCTCCCAGCAGAGGGGCTCCAGCCCTCCCAGCATCTCCATGGCCTCCTCTGGCCCCTCTCCAACAGGTCCATGTCTCTCCTGTGCTGAGGCCCCAGAGCTGGAGGCAGCACTGGGTGGGGGGTGTCTCCCCAGAGCGGAGCAGAGGGGCAGAATCCCCCCCTGGCCCTGCTGGGGATGCAGCCCAGGGTGTGGGGGGCTTTCTGGGCTGCCAGGGCACGTTGGTGGCTCATGTTGAGCTTCTCATCCACCAACACCCCTCAGATTGTCTTGTGTGAACAAACCCCAGCTGATGCAATGGTTTAAGCTGACACAGCTCATCGTAATGGAAGTGGTGCAGGGAGCACCTGCCTGAACTGTTTGCAACCAGCAGATCCAAAGGACGCTGCAGATTTCAGCAGAAAAACGATGAGCAGCCTCTTTGGTAACCTCATCTGGCACGGTTAGATTCAGAAGAAAGCTTTTTTCCACCCCAATATAGAATCGTAGAATTGTCTAGGTTGGAAGGGACCTTAAAGATCATCTAGTCCAACCATCAACCTAACTCTGACCAAAAATAAATAAGAAATAAGCAAAAAAAATAAAAATCACTCAACCATATTCTTGAGGATCAGACAGAGAACAGCACAAAGGAGGTGAAGTCACAGTTTCGGCCACAGTTTCGGGCACTGAACATGCATCTCACAACTCCCAGTTCTTTGCCTTTCCCTAAGTGACATAGGTTTTAGTTAAAATCAGTTAAACTGATTTTTCTTTATGTAAATATATACTATGAGGGGACTTTACCTACCCTAGAGAAGCATCTTAGCCGTGTATCTTCCAGAGGGTAATTATATTGCCTTAAAAATCTTATTTACTGGCTTATCTGACATTTTTCCTTGGAAGTAATAAGAAGATAAACCAAACCAAAATGAGATGCACCAAAGTGCACGCTGATCATGGTTTGATTTTTCTCTTAAGTTGTTCAATTCACTCTCGTGCACAGAGGGAAAAGGGTCTGGGAGGAGGACACCTGGGTAGCAGGAAAACTCCTGTAGCTTAAATAAAGCAGGTTTTGTCCAGGTTATGCTTGGATGTAGCTGTCTCTCGGAGGGAAAAATGACACCTCGGGTGCAAGAGGGTAGAAACAAATCACTGTTGGGTATTGCAGAGTCCAAAGTACATCTAGGTAAATAACTTCAACTCTATGAAATGTCCTTAACTGTTCATACACTTTTCGAATTTACAAAAGCGGATTGGAGGGACCCGTCTTACTGCTCTTACACGGTGGAGGCCATTCTGCTCTTTCCTGGGCTGTATTTACTGTAAGTAAAGCACTGTAAAGTCTGTACATGTGCAATGGGAGGAGGACACCTGGGTAGCAGGAAAACAACTCTTGAAGCTTAAATAAAGCAGGTTTTGTCCAGGTTGTGCTTGGATGTAGCTGTCTCTCGGAGGGAAAAATGACACCTCGGGTGCAAGAGGGTAGAAACAAATCACTGTTGGGTATTGCAGAGTCCAAAGTACATCTAGGTAAATAACTTCAACTCTATGAAATGTCCTTAACTGTTCATACACTTTTCGAATTTACAAAAGCGGATTGGAGGGACCCGTCTTACTGCTCTTACACGGTGGAGGCCATTCTGCTCTTTCCTGGGCTGTATTTACTGTAAGTAAAGCACTGTAAAGTCTGTACATGTGCAAATGTAGAATCATAGAATCATAGAATGGTTAGGGTTGGAAGGGACCTCGAAGATCATCGAGTTCCAACCTGAGTAGTCCTCTGAGTGTGGGAGGCAACTAACCATTCAGCTGTCTTAAACATGGAAAATGGGTTCAGAAAACTGCCTTATAGAATCATCTGTCTCTCCTGTGCTGAGGCCCCAGAGCTGGAGGCAGCACTGGGTGGGGGGTGTCTCCCCAGAGCGGAGCAGAGGGGCAGAATCCCCCCCTGGCCCTGCTGGGGATGCAGCCCAGGGTGTGGGGGGCTTTCTGGGCTGCCAGGGCACGTTGGTGGCTCATGTTGAGCTTCTCATCCACCAACACCCCTCAGATTGTCTTGTGTGAACAAACCCCAGCTGATGCAATGGTTTAAGCTGACACAGCTCATCGTAATGGAAGTGGTGCAGGGAGCACCTGCCTGAACTGTTTGCAACCAGCAGATCCAAAGGACGCTGCAGATTTCAGCAGAAAAACGATGAGCAGCCTCTTTGGTAACCTCATCTGGCACGGTTAGATTCAGAAGAAAGCTTTTTTCCACCCCAATATAGAATCGTAGAATTGTCTAGGTTGGAAGGGACCTTAAAGATCATCTAGTCCAACCATCAACCTAACTCTGACCAAAAATAAATAAGAAATAAGCAAAAAAAATAAAAATCACTCAACCATATTCTTGAGGATCAGACAGAGAACAGCACAAAGGAGGTGAAGTGCCTTCTCTGATCTGTTGGCCACAGTTTTGGGCACTGAACGCGCATCTCACAACTCCCAGTTCTTTGCCTTTCCCTAAGTGACATAGGTTTTAGTTAAAATCAGTTAAACTGATTTTTCTTTATGTAAATATATACTATGAGGGGACTTTACCTACCCTAGAGAAGCATCTTAGCCGTGTATCTTCCAGAGGGTAATTATATTGCCTTAAAAATCTTATTTACTGGCTTATCTGACATTTTTCCTTGGAAGTAATAAGAAGATAAACCAAACCAAAATGAGATGCACCAAAGTGCACGCTGATCATGGTTTGATTTTTCTCTTAAGTTGTTCAATTCACTCTCGTGCACAGAGGGAAAAGGGTCTGGGAGGAGGACACCTGGGTAGCAGGAAAACAACTCTTGAAGCTTAAATAAAGCAGGTTTTGTCCAGGTTGTGCTTGGATGTACCTGTCTCTCGGAGGGAAAAATGACACCTCGGGTGCAAGAGGGTAGAAACAAATCACTGTTGGGTATTGCAGAGTCCAAAGTACATCTAGGTAAATAACTTCAACTCTATGAAATGTCCTTAACTGTTCATACACTTTTCGAATTTACAAAAGCGGATTGGAGGGACCCGTCTTACTGCTCTTACACGGTGGAGGCCATTCTGCTCTTTCCTGGGCTGTATTTACTGTAAGTAAAGCACTGTAAAGTCTGTACATGTGCAAATGTAGAATCATAGAATCATAGAATGGTTAGGGTTGGAAGGGACCTCGAAGATCATCGAGTTCCAACCTGAGTAGTCCTCTGAGTGTGGGAGGCAACTAACCATTCAGCTGTCTTAAACATGGAAAATGGGTTCAGAAAACTGCCTTATAGAATCATCTGATGATCTGGGGTTGGAAGGAACCTCTGGAGATCATCCAGTCCAACTCCTCAGGCAGAGCAGGTCCACCCAGAGCAGGTCCCACAGGAACGTGTCCGGGGGGGGTTTGAATGTCTCCAGAGAAGGAGACTCCACCACCTCTCTAGGCAGCCTCTGCCAGGGCTCTGCCACCTGCAAAGTAAAGAAGTTCCTCCTCATGTTGAGATGGAACTTCTTATGGTCCAGTTTGTGCCCATTTCCTCTTGTCCTGTCCCTGGGCACCACTGAAAAAAGACTGGCCCCATCCTCCTGACACCCACCCTTTAAGTATTTATGGGCATTGATGAGATCCCCCCTCAGCCTTCTCTTCTGCAGACTAAAAAGACCCAAGTCCCTCAGCCTTTCCTCAGCAGAGAGATGCTCCAGGCCCCTCATCACCTTTGTAGCCTCTGCTGTACCTTCTCCAGCAGTTCCCTGTCCTTCTTGAACTGGGGAGCCCACAACTGGTCCCAGTGCTCCAGCTGGGGCCTCCCCAGGGCAGAGCAGAGGGGCAGGATGACCTCCCTCCACCTGCTGCTCACACTCTTCCTGATGCCCCCCAGGATGCCCTTGGCCTTCTTGGCCACCAGGGCCCATTGCTGGCTCCTGGGCATCCTGTTGTCCACCAGGACTCCCAGGTCTTTCTCCTCAGAGCTGCTCTCCAGCAGGTCCCCCCCAACCTCTCCTGGTCCATGGGGTTATTCCTCCCCAGATGCAGCACCCTACACTTACCCTTGTTGAATTTCATCAGGTTCCTCTCTGCCCAACTCTCTCCTGGTGCTCACCTGACTCAAATCTTTTAAATATTTCACCATCAGTGTATTTATTCTATAGGCAAAGCACGTGCAAAGGTTTATCTTCTGGGTTTTAATTACCAGCAGTAACCAAAACTACATCTGCCAAATGGCTTGTGTGTTTTAATGAGGTGCCAAGATGTTTCTCATGATGGCATATCCAATTTTTTTCAGGAGGCTGCTTTTTCATGCCTGCCAGTGAAAATTCAACAGCTTTATGTCCTCATATAATATTATGGAATCATAGAAAGGTTTGGGTTGGAAAGGACCTTAAAGATCATCATGTTCCAACCCCCCTGCCCTGGGCAGGGACACCTCCCACCAGACCAGGTTGCTCCAAGCCCCCTCCAACCTGCCCTTGAACCCCTCCAGGGATGGGGCAGCCACAGCTTCTCGGGGCAACCTGGGCCAGGCTCTCACCACCTTCACAGCAAAGAATTTCTTTCTGGAAATTATCTTCGCATGATTGAGGTCCTGTTTGATTTGTTGAGGATCTCACTGCTCAAGCAACTGTCTGAAGAAATGGAACTGAGGACAGGAGTGAGCGTGGGGACTGACCGAAATTCCTTCCCCCATCCATTCCCTTTAAAAAACAAAGGGAGTTAAGGAAGGAAACTTTTAAAGGATTTGAAGGAAATGACTTGCAGTGTGTGATTTTTATATTTGGGACCTTTTTAATCCAGGAGCTCTTCAAGCCCTCTTAGTGCCCTTAACAGAAGGATGCTGAGGGATGACTTCCATGGAAGTGCGACCTCACGGATGAATTCTCTGCATCTCCTCTTTGCCTGCATCATATTTGTTATTTTTTGGCTAGTTTAGTGGGTTTTGTTAGGTTATACAAGTGCCTTAAACAGCTATAGTGAAGGTCACTGCTTATAATTGGAGGCCTTTAATGAAATCACATTTTTCTAACCTAAAGAAAGGGCTTCTTAAAGTCACTTCCACCTTTTCTAGGCTCTTTATTTCCAGTAGCAACACCAATGCCATTTTTACATTTAAAAATCACCAGAAATGGATTTAGGGGTGTGATTGCAGTGACATTTTTACATTTAAAAATCACCAGAAATGGTGATTTTTAGGGGTGTGATTGCAGTCGCAACACTGCACCTTACACTCGCTGGCTTTTTGTGTTACTGTGAGCAATTAACAAAGTTAGCTCGTATACAGGATTTGCATAGATTTACACCTTGCGCTTGGAACTGCATCCAGAGAAAAACAACTGCCACAACAATTAGCTCGTGGCTTTGTGTGGCTCCTAGAAAATGATTTCCTTTGTGCCTTTTGAAATGAAAGTCTGTCCCAAGCAATGTGAGTGTTAAATCTTTGGGACGAACCAGAACTTTTAAACCTCCTCCCAAAAAAACCCCTCCCAAAAAAAGCCAAGAGAAAACTTAAATTGGGAACCATTGAGAGTAACCACCTATGAATAAAATCACAGCCTGCAGGAGCGATGTGCTCCTTTCTTCCTTTGCTTATTGGCCTGGATGCTTCCTGGATGATGTGTTTGTACTTTTCTTGGCCAAAGTGCTCCAATTTGATAAAACTCAGGGCACTGGAAAGCGTCCCATTCTCCCACATTGTGTTGATGCTCCTCTTTCCTTCCTCCCTATTGACGATAATTGGATTTTTAGCAGCAAAGTCCTCCTCTGACTAGTGAAATTATTGCTTAGGTGCATAAGCACCTTGCAGATTGAGGTTTCAGGGTGTCTTTAGGGTCTCTAAAATATTAACTCGGGGATTCAAAGGGTTTTGGGAGAGCGACTGCTACAGTCATTTACGAGCTGAATAACTCAACAACCAAAATATGAGGACTGGGCAGCTTTCAGATCTCTGCCCATTATGTAGGTGGTTCTATTAAGAGTCCCTCAACAAATTCTCTCACTCCTACAGGGCTGTTATTTAAATAATCAATGATTCCTTAGCACAAAAATTTTCCTTTCAACAAATAATGCCATTTAATCACCGTGATGCCTGGAAGAACTTACAGTAAATTGAGCTGTCAGGGACAAATAGAGCCATGATGGTGTTGCAGCCCTACCTTACTTCAAAAAAGGTTCCCCACTCGTTCCCCCCGACCCTTCTGGACTAATTAATTTTTGTACATCTCAGCCTTACTGTAAAATTCTGTTCTTTGAGAGCAAATTGAATGGGAGCTGCAGAGCAGCTGCTTCATCTTTGTGGTTGCTGTATAGTCAAGACTAATTCTGTAACGTGGGGAACTTGGGGAAAGGGGGCATTTCTTTGGTGTCTGTCATCCCACGGCTGCATTTTGGTTTTCAGAGCTTGGATTTGTTATCTCAGGAGACACACGTAATGCACAGTGAAATAAAAGTCCTCAGAGACAACATTAACAATGGCAGAAAGGATGGAGCTCTGGTTAATTAAGGATAATTTATATAGAATATTCTTGCCTGCTTTCTGCGACACCTCGTACAATCCAGGTTCAGCCACTTGGGTGACAGTAGAGGGGTTTTTCTTGCAGCTTCTGAGCCTTTGCTGTTGTTTAAGGAAGGGCTTAATGTGTCTGATCCTTTTGTAGACAAAGGTGTCCAAAGACAACTTTGGAAATTACCTTATCTTTGTCCTTTCTTGCAGTCTGCCATCATTAACAGGATTCAGTGTAGGATCGTGGCTTTAGATCTCCGAGGCCATGGTAAGTAAAAAGAAATAAATGTAAGATGATGTAAGCGTGTTAAACACCCTTGGTTTTTAAAGAAGATGTAATGAATATCTCCCAAGATGACTAAGGTATAGAATCATAGAATGGTTTGGATTGGAAGGGACCTTAAAGATGATTGAGTTCCAACTCCTGCCCTGGGCAGGGACACCTCCCACCAGAGCAGGTTGCTCCAAGCCCCCTCCAACCTGCCCTTGAACCCCTCCAGGGATGGGGCAGCCACAGCTTCTCTGGGCACCCTGGGCCAGGCTCTCACCACCCTCACAGCAAAGAATTTATTTCTTCCTGAGATCTAAGCTAAATCTCCCCTCTTTCAGTTTAAAGCCATTACCCCTTGTCCTTTCACTATGCCCCTCTTTCAGTTTAAAGCCATTACTCCTCATCCTTTCACTATGCACCCTTGTAAAAAGTCTCTCTCCAGCTTTCTTCTAGGCCCCCTTCAGATACTGGAAAGCTGCTATAAGGTCTCCCCAGTATTTCAAAACCAGTTTCCCCCAGTTATTCAAAACCAGGGATGGAAAAGTGGCTTCTAGAGGTCCACAGCCACATTTTTTCAGGTGCTAGAGATGAGACTCCTCTTGCCTTTTGTGTGAGGTGATGGTGGACTTGTTCCTGCACTAACCTCCTCCTTCATATTTTCATAACCTATAGGTTGTCTTTACCATTAGAAATAGATGGTTACCATTTAGATCTTTACCATTAGAAATAGAATAGAAATATCTTCTTTAGTTTTAAGATACATTACAAATATGGAACAAGTTATGGGGAGCGTTTTCTACCCGTAAGCTATAATGCAATAAAGTACCAACTGTACCTATTAATTCTGGGTTTCTTAATTATTCATGTTAACTGCTGTAGATTTGCTCTTAATAACTGTGCCAAAAAAGCTTTGTGCAGTTGCTGCTCTAATTCCTGAGGGAACTGAAGGTTTCCAGCTTCCGTCAACTTTACTCTCTTTTTTTTTTGGTCTTTCAGGAGAAACAAAAGTTAGGAATCCTGAAGATCTGTCTGCAGAGACTATGTCAAAGTAAGGAAACTTTCGCTCTCTCTTCAGTTTTTCACTTTTCCTAAACCTTTATTTTCTTTCTTTGGTTGAACAATAAACTGGTTGAGGACACACAGCCTTCATTCAAGGAATGAAGATAGTTTCATTTCACATTTTTTCTGGTAGTTGTCCCTCCTTTTCCATCCACTTTGGGACAGTTTGAAGTTTATTTGAAATTATACCTCTTCTAGCTGAGTCGGATTCCAAACTGGAGCCTTTCTGTGGGTACCCTCAGTCTTTAAATTCACTTTAAAGATCAGTGGCTTCGTTACAGTGAACACATTAAACCTGCAACACGCTATAACACTTGCTAGAAATTTCTTAATAGAAGGGTATAATTCTCTCCTCGGACATAACCAACTGGGGCATTTAAGCTTGAAATCACCAGTTTGGTTCTTCCTGGGCTCCTCAGTTGAACATACAGAGTGTGCCCACCTTGGACTGGTGACATCCCCAAAGTGTGGGTCACAGCCTGAGAATTCCATGTGTGGAGAGAGTTGCTTTTTCCAACTCTCCTGACCTGTTTTGGGATGCAAATCCCCCTCTTGACAAAGCTGTAAGAAAAACAAATCCCCACTGCTAAGCGCGTTACCTTGTGCCCGCATTTAGTACAAAGAAACCCTTTGCTCCGACCACAATTAAATCCCAAAGGATTTTGTAAACTTGGTATGAACAAATGCAGTGGGTTTGTTGTGGGGAGGCCATGTGTGAAATGGATTCTGACTCCCATTGTGTACTGGCTGCTGCTGCTTACGGCCTGTCAGCTCCTGGTGTGTTACTGTCCCGAGGAGATGCCCTCTGAAATGAGTAGAATTTTTTAGATCTGGGGGGAGAAAAACAAGTCCCTTTTGGGTTTAAACTTTTCTCTCCTCTTGGCAGTGAGCTTGAAAGTTATTCCTGTATCACCTTTAAATGGGAACCTTAAATTATAGCTGCTTTTTATTTTTTTAATCAAACCTCAAGCAATTTTCTCTGACAGAGCAAACAAGCTGGTCAACCTTTTTTTTTTTTTTTTTTTTAAACTTGTTTTCCATTTTCTAGTTGCAACAGAATCATAGAATGATTCAGGTTGGAAGGAACCTTAAAGATCATTGAGTTGCAATCCCCCTGTCCTGGGCAGGGACACCTCCCACTGGACCAGGTTCCTCAAATATTGCTCAGGTCATCAGTTCCTCTGAATGATTGTAGTCAGGAATCCCCCTGTCCTGGGCAGGGACACCTCCCTCTGGACCAGGTTGTTCAAATACTGCTCAGGTCATCAGTTCCTCTGAATGGTTGTAGTCAGGAAAGATCATAGAATGGTTTGGGTTGGAAGGGACCTCAAAGATCATCAAGTTCCAACCCCCCTGCCATGGGCAGGGACACCTCCCACCAGACCAGGTTGCTCAAGGCCCCATCCAGCCTGGCCTTGAACACTTCCAGGGATGGGGCAGCCACAACTTCCCTGGGCAACCTGTTCCAGTGTCTCACCACCCTCATAGTAAA